GCATCTATTTATTACCATAGAATAATATCTTGATGCCTCACATTTCTTGTTTTTGCATATTATTTCTTGCTATGGGTTCTACTTTAGCTTTCCATGTAGCAGTCCTGGAGAGCTAAAGTGGCTCTGCGAGTCCAAGATGCAGGAAAAATGATGGGATTGACAAACAAAATAGTCCATTTTAAGAGTGAATTTGGGTGGAAGGGTTCAGAAATATGTATGTCTCTTATAATTTCTTATAGAATACAACAAATTTATTGCTAGAAGAAACCTCAGGGCCTAATAAATACATTAAATGAGGAACGTGAGCCCCATCCTTCTTGAGTAACTTACCCAAATGCACATAAACATTAGCAGAACCAGGATCAGGACTCAGATCTATTGCTTCTTGGTTCAATAATGTTTATAGTTAGATGTGTTTTATCATAGTGCAACATTTTGAAACTTCTTTACTTTCAGGTAGAATGTGTAATTATTTTTAATTAATACCAACACCCCACTTCCTTGCCATACTCTTTCGCAGTATTTTAGGTTAGAGAGCATTGTTGAGTAGTAAAACTTCCCGTGAGCCAGAGCTGGTGGACACATTCAGTCTACATTGAGTTCACAGAAGGTATATGACCCACCTCACTGGGCTTTTCCACAGAGGAAAAATCACACAGTCCTATTTTTCCCCTTTCCTAACTCAGTTGTAGTGTGGATTTCTTCCCAATGGTTCAGTCTTCTTTTTAGTACTTTTTAACATTTATTAGTTGGTTATAAGAATGGCACTGCAGATTTTTATTGTTGAAGAAACAGAAAAAAAGATAAAATAAGGACTCTAACCATTATATGTTTAAATAAGAGAGAGAGCGAGAGAGAGAGAGACTGAGACCCTACAATAGAAAAGTATCATTTTGAAATATGTTAAAAGATTGGTGAGATTCCAAATTTATTTTTCTGGGGTTTCTTTTGATCACATAAACGATAATTTTTTTTTATTGCTTTATTGTAATGTTTTCTGGCAGTGCTTATAATATCCTCGTATTTTCTTATAGTCACTGTTCTTAGGAATTTATAACTCAACTGTTACATTTTGCCTACGGCTGAAACATGATCTACAGATGTTTGGCTTAGATATAATTCTTCAAACATAACTCATTTTTACAGGCAATAATTAATATTAGATTGGATTTTCATACGTGTTTGAAATATTAAGCACTGTGTTTTTAACCTTATAAAAAAATTTCAGAAACATTATAGGAGAATGAACATTTAAAAACAATGTTGCAGAATAGCAATTTCAAACACAAAGTTATTTTACTTTAAGGAGGTGCAGCACCCTATTTTGACTTATCACAGAGTAAGATAAGAGACTTCATTCATTATGTCAAATTATTATAATCTTCCTGATGACAATTTAATAGTTGGAAATACAGGAACATAAAGAGACTGTAAAGCTATATCCTGACCTACAATTTCACAGCCTCTTCCTTTTCCTCCCTAAATTTTATAGTTAGTTCTACCTTTCTGAAATTTCTAAAATACCCCTGGAATATTTGCCAAATTACATTCATCCCTCAATAATTTACTTTTCTGTTGTTGAAGTCATAGTTACCTTTTAGAGAATAGCAGTGATCTTTCTATGGGCTCCCTTTTTTTTAATGGCCTTATTCTTTTTACTGTCTCTGCTCCTTGTGAAGAGAGACTGTCCAACCTTTCCATTCCATCATATGCCCAGCAATGGCAGACACACTGTGGCACAGAGAAGGAAATGGGAGGATTGGCGCCTATGCCCATGCACATTCGGTGCATGCTTCTTTCTCACCACAGTCCTGCAGGGATCACTGCCAAGTTAAGAGACATTTCTAAATCCAAACTTCAGCATTACTTACCACAGTCTACTCTATTTATTTCTTATGTTCATCTGTGCATCACTATTTATTCAGGTTAATGTTTTCATCTCATTAGTTATATTTTGTCCATCAGGTTTTGTTTGTTTGTTTTATTTTTTTAATATATTTTTATTGATTTCAGAGAGGAAGGGAGAGGGAGGGAGGGAGAGAGAGAGAGAGAGAGAGAGAGAGAGAGAGAGAAATATCAACGATGAGAGAGAATCGTTGATTTTGCCTCCTGCACACCCCCCATTGGGGATCACGCCTACTGCCTCCTGCACACCCCCCATTGGGGATCAGGCCTACAACCCGAGCATGTGCCCTTGACCCTGAATCAACCTCCTGGTTCGTAGGTCAACGCTCAACCACTGAGCCACTCCAGCCAGGCTGTTTGTTTTTTAAATCCTATCACACAGCATCTTAGTCTTGCTGCCTTTTATTTAAAAGGTGACTCTTGCCTCTCTTATCCTTCATCACCATGGAACCATATAAATAATGATATGGAAGCATCACAAGATGTATGCCAGTCCCATGAAAACTCTGAACCATCATCATTCTGCGACTCCATCTTGTCACAGCTTTAATGCATTCTTTGTGTTTGTTGATTAACTTCTTTATTGAGGTTAGATAGAGAAAAGTCAGACAACCATGTAGATTGGGAATCCTTCAAAATCATGATTCCCAACCTTATTTGAATGCTCAACATGTTTCAGTTTATTATCAGTTTACTCTAGAACTGATTTCAAAGAAGGACATAAAACACACATTTTCAAAATAATACAAGAAACATTTTCTTTTAACAGCATTTGGAAGAACAAATAAAATAATACAAAAAGATTGGTGAAGTGGTCATATTTAATCAAAAGATATTTAGGAATTACCTAAGTTTTGAAATAGATTTTGAATAAAATTATAAACACAAATTGCTAAGAGAGAATTTAAGGATGGAAGATGTCTAAAATGAAGAGAGATAGGGAATGTAAAATAAAAAATTGTAAGTCCCATTGAGAGCAGGGGTAATTTCTTTTTAAAATATTTTACCAAAGGCTAGTATGCAAAGTGTCCCCTCGGGAGTTCAATCCGGAAACTGGGAGTTTGATAGCTCGCTATGATGTGTCCTGACCACCAGGGGGTGGCGTAGAAAGAAGAAAGGCCCTGGCCGGCAGCTGGAAGGCCCCGATTGGCCCTGATCGCTGGCCAGGCCTACGGACCCTACTAATGCACGAATTTTGTGCATTGGGCCTCTAGTTATATATGAAATGATAAATACTTATTGCAAAAAAAGACAAAGCAAACAAAAAACAATTGAGGGAATCAATCAGGTAGACCTAGAGCAGCTTGTAGCAAATATATACCCCTGGTCTATAAGGCTTGAACGGGCAGCCCATTCTTGGGTCCCCCTCCCCTTGCAAGGAGTCTGAATCTGCTTGTAATCAATTTTCCATACTTTTGCTTAAATCTTCTGGTCCGTAACTCATTCTTTGGTGTCGTGAGACAGGACCCCGAGAAAAACACCTCTGCTCACTGTTCTGGTTATCAGACAGACATGAGCAGAGCAAGGATGATGGGACAGATACAGAAACTAGACGCCTAGCCAGGGGCAAAACTGAGAAGATGAGAACCTTGCCCCCAGAGAAACCTTTCCTCTCCTAGCTTATTGCCGGTTATGTGGTTTAGATCCTCCCGCCCTGACCTTTACCTCCCTAAAGATAACATCTAGGCCTCAGTTGTATTTCAGCTCCAGGGCTAGAAAAGCAGCAAAACCAGGGCAGTGATGCCATGGCTACCTCAGGACCAGCTACATTGACTATTGAACCTCTGCCCTGGTGCTGACCAATCAGTGGAGACCACAACCCTGAAAGAGCACACCCTCCCCTGAGACTTCCCCTAAGATTTCCACTTACCAGAGAGAGAAATACACTCAGCGTGAAGGGCCCAGTGTGCACTCTCCCCAGGGAAGCAGGCTCACCCTATTCCCTTTCTCCTTCTTTAGGGACCCCATGAGACTTGCAACCAGGGGAGCATTGGGCAGCTGCAGCTTGTCCCGAGCTAACCCCCTGAACCTGTCACCAAGGGTGCCTTTTCTCTGACGTTTCAGTGAGCCAGAGCAGCCCAGCCCAGGCTCTCCTGTTGCTTTTTCTATGTTCTTCCTTGTTTCACTGTCCTAAATATATTTTTAGCTGCAGCCAATAAATTCTTTCTTACTTTGCTATATATACTTTGTCTCTTGATTGAAATCTTTCCTTCAAGAAAACAAGAGCCAAGATCTCGTGGTCTCATCGGTAACGCTATCAGTTATCAAAATATTTGATAAGCACTATTGTATGTCCAAAAATAACATATCCTAAATAAAATAGTTCATACACTGTACCAACTCATCCTTCTTAATCTGTCCCATTGCCCTGACCCTACATGTTCACATAGCACTTCTCACCATGTGATCTTTTATAAAATCTGTCGATGTGTTTCTAAAATGTACCTTCTGCACCCGAATAAGACTCCGTAAAGGAAGGGACTTGCACTTGTTGCAGCTATATCCCAAGCTTCAACTGCAATGCTTCTTATCAAACATTCAATAAATATATATGGAATGAATGGATGAATAACTCTTTGATAGTGGGGAAAACTGCATATCTATAAAAAGTAGCAAATTTAAGTTTTAGTTATCAGAGAGGAGTTTTTTTTTGCCTTTTTCATATATGAATAGGGCCTGGGTATTAAGCATTAACAATTCTGAGGTTATCATTTCCAGGTTAGCTTGTGGGTAAGAGTGGAAGGAAGGTGTTAAATTCTTTCTGCAGCAGCCTTTGCTCACAGTGGCCTGTGAGGCTGTGTGATTTCCTTTGCAGTGCCCGGTTACAGTGGAAAGCAGCAGGCTGTTTATAGGTTCTCTCTGAGGGGTGCTGTTTTGTTCAGTTTCAAACTAGAGAAAAGTGTGAACATTAGGTCACACCTCATGAACTTTAACAAAACACTCTACCCAGTTTACTAATACCCTCGTTCTTCTATTGCTATATTTCATTTTTCCTAGAAGTGGGAATTACCGGTTTTGATTTAGTATCACATCTTGAGGTAGGTTTTTCCCTTTATTTTGAAATAATTAACATGTTTTTTATTCTTGTTCCTCAGAATGGATTGGGGAGATGAATATTCCCATAATTCCTTTGACCTACATTGTTTGTTAAATTCATTTCCTGGAGACTTGGAGTTTAAGCAGATCTTCAGTGATATTGATGAAAAGATAGAACAAAATGCTGCAAGGTAAATATTGCTAATTAATTAAAACAAGTTAGTTTCATGTTTAATTTACACAAATGTTACCTAATCTAGTTTTATTGTTTTCTACTGTTAGATAATTTTAGTTTTTCATTGTCATTAACTTTGCTGGAAAAAAAATGATGAGACTTTCCTCCCTAAAATTTAATGTGATTTTTCTTATCTGATTAGTACTGTATTAAATATATATATATATGTGTATATATATATTGGCATTGACTTTGTTAGAGGTAGAAGTGCAGTTCTTGGGATGCCACAAGGAAAACAATTTTCTGAGGTCCCTCCTGAGGATGGAGATTCATGGAAAGCTTTATTGATGATGTAAAATTAAGGGGTTCCCTTCGAAAGTCCCATCTCTGTCTGTCTTGCCATGGAAGAAGTCCTTTCTTGTCTTCAGCAGGGCCAGAATGAAAGCCACTGCACAGAATTCCTGCTCCATATGAAAGTCCAGTCCAGCATCCTGCGTGCCGTGTTGCTGCTTATGGCCATATGACTACTGTAGGCGAGCGCATGAATGCAGGGCAAGTGCGGTTCACAGAGCAAGAGGGGGCACAAGAAGAAAAGGAAACTCTTTGTCTGGGGATTTTACCCTTCCAGGATTTTGTGCACTTGCAGTAGCTCCATCCTCTCAGCCAATGATCTTCTCCCTGGCTAGTCTGAGGTGACCTTCCCTACGTCACTTCAACTTCACTGCACATGCGTCCATCACCCCTTGTGCCATGCGATTCACAGGGAATGAACCAGTGATTCCCTGGGGAGCATAAAACTATGGCTTTCTGGGGAAGCTGCCCAGATGACCATGCTAGATAGGACAGTAACACCGTCAAATAGATAACGTTTATTGAATTGCTATTAATGATTTCTTAGATTTTGCCAATATTGTTGGCCTGGATTTTTTAATATATTTAGAGTAAAACATTGTTCTTTGATGGCTAAGCACAAAAATTTTAAATTAAGGTATTAAAATAAAATAATAGTATAAAGCCATGGATTGCTTGAGTTGCTGAAAACAGAATGTTAAAAATAAATTATTTATATGTAATGTTTGTCATTTTAACTCTCTTTCTCACTTACTTTGGGAGGCTAGTGACTCTACAGAGAATTGTTATGCCATATCAATCTTCATTACCTACTTCAAAAGTGTTACCAAACACTGAGGGAAGCTAGGACAGCTAAGTAGTTTCCCATTAATACATGTACTTTGCTAGAATAGACTTTGTCTTCATATGTATTTCTGGACTCTTGAGTCAGTTTACTTACTTGAATCTTTTTGATCAAAGATTCTAATAATTCCCCTAATGTATTTTATAAATATGAAGCCACAGTAAAAATTTCTATTGTAGAATGATAACATACTATTTCCTTCTTAAAAATTTAAGGTATAGTTATATTGAATTGTCAAAGAACTGAACCAAGCAAGTGAAATGTTCCTATAATTTTTTCCTCAAGTTTTATATGAGAATGTGGTTAATTTTTTTTATCATTATATAAATGTGCATAGATAACAAATTCAAAAGACAGCATACCCACTGAAATTAGGCTCCTACACTTCCACAGAAACTGGGAGATACAGGAGCTATCTCCTTGGTGTTTGCATTTGGAAAAGATGGCTCCCAGGTTCTTGAGATAGTCCTGGCTTGGAAAGTTGACAAAAGGCCTATCTAGTCTTCCAAGGGATACATGTCAAAGAGATGGAAAAGTGCTTATAATTACAAGTTTCTCAGGTAAATGCTTTTAAAACAGGAATGGAGGGAAATCTTTGTTCTTATTTAAAGCAGAGAAAATTAAGTCTCTTATTTTTAACTTGTATTTGCCCTTACACTATATGTATATTTTTAATTTAAAAATTATACCCTTATATTCTATGTCACAGTTGATGAATATAATGTTTTGTTGTTGTTAATCTTCACCCAAGGATGTTTTTTCTTTTTTTAAATATATTTTATTGATTTTTTACAGAGAGGAAGGGAGAGAGATAGAGAGTTAGAAACATCCATGGGAGAGAAACATCCATCAGCTGCCTCCTGAACACCCCCTACTGGGGATGTGCCCGCAACCAAGGTACATGCCCTTGACCAGAATCAA